CGAGTACTCCGCCCCAAGCATACCTATAGCCAGCGCCAAAAGATTTGAGCATTGACCTTCCTCGAACACCACCGAGTCCCGCTTGTAAAGCGAAACCGCTACCGAAAGCCAACACAGCAAGAAGCGTCAGAGCTGTATGGTATTCCCCGGTGGACAATTGGGGAATGGGTAAAAAAAAAAAAGGCTATTGAGGGGATTGGGATTAACTCAACTGTTCAGGCCCTATTAAAGGAGGGGGTAAGCCTATGTTGGTGGCCAGAGTTAGAAGAAAAGCTCTTCGAAGACTTTAAAGCATGGAGGAAAGAGGGAATAATTATACGGAGAGAGTGGTTTCAAGTACAAGCGATGTTACGATTCCATGAGCTGTACCCAGAGGTTAGTTCTGAGCTCTTTCTGTTTAGCAATGGGTGGTTTGCCGGCTTCCTTGGTCGACACAAAATTAGCTTGAGATATATCACAAAAAAAGCCCAAAAGATACCGGCAGAATACCAAGTACTAGTTGTTAACTGGTTACGATTCAACTGACGAAACTCTCAGCCTTCTCCAAACCCTTTTCTTGATATTGTTCTCCGCCATCCAGTCTGCCGCTTTGAGCTCTCCAATATTTGCAATTTGGACGAGACTCCGATCCCTTTCAAATACCTCGATGGTAAAACATACGAGATGTGAGGAGAGAAAACTGTTTGGACTAAGTCCTCCCAGAGTGGCTGGGATAAAAGACAGGCATCGCTGGTCTTGTGTGTTTTTGTGGATGGGGTTGCTCGGGTTCCCCCAATGGCGATTTTTCGGGGAAAGGGTACACAGCTAGGAGATGAGCGGTCAAAATATGATTCCCGAGTGCTCGTTGAATTTAACGAGAAAGCATACATGAATGACAAGTTATTTTTACGCTACATTGAGGACTATCTAGTTCCAGTACTTGATGGTCGCCCTACCTTGTTTGCGATTGATATAATGGGGTCTCATAAGACCCCAGCCGTTCTATAAAAAATGCGATCACAAAATATTACACCCTCCCTAATCCCAGGTGGCTGCACAAGTCTGGTACCGCCTCTCGACGTCGCTATCAACAAGCCCTTCAAAGATCTTATCCGCGAGCAAACCGATATGGCAATTTTCCAAGCTGAAACTATCGAAAGCGTTCAGAAGTGGAGTGTACGCCAACGCCGGATACTTACAACCTCCTGTGTGGGTGAGGTTTTCTACAGGTTTCATAGGGAAAAAAAAGACATCATATGCAGGGCTTTTCGCAAAGTGGGATTATCACTTCCTGTGGATGGAAGTGCTGACTCTGAGTTAGATGTTAAGGGCTTTTCTGGGCTGGAGATTGGAAATTGGAGGGAGGATATTGGGACCGCACCCCCAGAGGCAAACATTTCTGTGGCCGAAGACGAAAACATCAATGTAGCATTTATAGATGCCTGAAATTCCTCTTCGTCAAGTATTGGTAGTCAAGCACCCTGGCCACCGGACAAGTATATTGATACCCATGAAGTTGAAATTATACGACACAGTGTCACCTTGTCACTTATCATTTCCCTAAATAGCCAGCCAAGATATTGCGTACTCCCTGCTATAGCACGCCACACACCGGCCTGAGATGGCGGATTTCAAGAGTTTTTACGGTAGTCCGTAAAGGCATCTATGAAGAACCGGAATTATTGAGCCTCACACTCGGACGTCAGAAATTCCCGCCTTCTTTGCGTGCAGGGCGGCGGGGGAAAAAACCCGTAGCATTTATCCTTCCGCTGATAAAATAAAAATACGACAGACCCTGCTAAGAGTGGCAGCTTCTACACCCCAGCGCGATTGTCGTTGTAACTTCCCATTCCCACGATCCCTTGAACAATTTTTCTCTGGTTACTGTACCAGCAGTGCTTCCATTCGCCCAGTCCGTCCTAAACGGGGTGAGGACGACGGCAGTACGACCGCACTACGAGTAGTCCTGGGCTTCTTTTTATTGATACCATATTACTTACCCCACTAAAAAAAAATTATTATCAATAGGGTATTGTTGATTGTAGTTGGTTGTTCGCACATTCTTTCATTCGTTTGCGCGCGCAAATGCTCATGGTCGACACAACTCCGCTACCCCACCATGAATGGCGCCATCGGTAATTAAACATGTTGCAGATCACGAACACTTCTGACGACTGGCTGTACTGTACGTACCAGAGCTATGCGCAATAAAGCCTTGATTTCGAGCCAATACACAAATTGGCAATGGTCAGGTGAGAAATTGTGAAGCCGAAGGTTAGCATCAAGCTACCGATATTAAAAATCCCATGTGCCTCTGAACAAAAAGGTCTATCAAAGTCCATGCCTGTTTGAGTTCTAGCTCGTGTTAGAAAGCTCACTTCCTGCCTGCACTGACTTTCCCCGGTGGGGTAAGTTTCAAACTACTCGACCATAATAGTATCCTCCCAAGTGCGCTGGTAAGGGCAGAGATCAGGAAAGAGCACCGGAGTTCGTAAGATAAGTAGAAGATTAGAAGAAAGGCTCTTATAGAAGGAATCCTCGCACCTGAAGCTACTATCATACATACGTGGACGTGGAATTTCCGGTTTATATATTAAACTACTAAAACATCCGCCACGAGTGGCATCCCAATGCCGCTGCACTTCGCAGATTACGTAGAGCACCCCACATAAACAATTCTACCGTAATTTACACATTTTTCAACCACATTCTCCTCCCAGCAATTATACCATCACGGTTCCTAAGACACAGATTCCGGTTTCCATAGTAATTGCAATAATTCCTTGGCAAAACGCCACTCGTGTACTTGGCTTGAGAGATTTGTCAGACTCCTTGGGGAACCAGGATAATAATTTATTGAAGTAGCCGGAGCTTACAAGCCAGGAACCCGACCAACCAGCAAACCAAACTCCTATCATATGGAAATACCGAATATCCTCGGTCCTACTCCGAATCTTATCCTCGCTCAGAACGTACCCTTGTGGAACCCCCCCGTCCTCGGCTGACGTAGAACAATGGGCGGCAGTGGGATAGAGCATGATGGAGAACGCGGCATACGCTGGGAGTATGTGGAAGTGGATCAGGATGATCCAGAGAAGGATAAAAGGCAGCCTGTTTTCCCTTTATTAGTTGTTTTTGTTCACTATCCAATCCGTCTCTCTCTTTCCTCCATTACCCGTATTTGGGTCAAATCAGTCTTTCTGTTTCTTTTCATTACCTATTCTCTTCGTGAGAATATTCTCCGGTTAGGATATTCAAATTCGATCTTTGCATCTTTGTCCAGGCATTCAATTTGAGTCAACTGTGTCCAAATCGCTGCCGTAAGCCTTGTTGTTGAAAACCCACAACTCAGGAAACCGTATTCTATCCTGTTATCCAGGAGTATATAGTAGCTGCTGACTTACACGCCGCGCCACCCGGCCAATCCCGAGTCCTGGGCGATTGCCCAGCATTCACTGCGCAATTCAATAATGATCTGTAGCTCCAGACCCTCTAGTATCAGAAAAATGACGCAGCAACGAAGACACGACCAGAGGGGTTCGACTTGCGTTCTGAAGCGCGGAACAGATTACCAATTGTCTCCAGCCCCCTCTGGCGATAGTGAATCCACATACCTTCTATAAAACGAGGTAAATTTGTTGTCAGTTATACACAAGCTGCTTCGCTCATGGAGGCTTCCCCAGATGTAAGATGTTGCGCATTTCGTCACCTAGACAGGCATTGCCTTCCAGATGAGCTACTACGTCCAATGGAGCGCCATATCGTGCGGATCGCAGATCGATATCCCCTCCTTCCTTTAAAGACCCTCAAGCACTGCGTGCCGCCCAAACAACGATGCCATCACCAAATGCGCGATGTCATCAGGGAATGGACCATCATAGTCACAGCTTTCCTAGTGCGCCTCAAGTTATGTCGGAAATCTGTTAGAGCCACCTTTGCATGGGCTCAAAGAAACCCATCTACAGATCCTGAAAATGTCGCGAGCGGATGCCCGATGACTATCTTCGTGGCCGGTGGGGGCGCGTTTATGCAAATGACTATCAACGGCCCCCCATACATCAATTCTGTAGGTGCCCATGGTTAAGGAATCGTTTTCAAGGCTTTTGAGCAGAAGCAAAGATCCTAGGGGTCCTTGATTACTCCGAAATCGCGCCTCGTTCCAAACAAGACATTAATTTCCCGTAATGTAAGAGACCCCGTAGATGCTGCCAGCACACTGAGGATTCGTCAAGCTCTGTCCAAATGTGCTTTTGTTACGAATGTTGGTGTTTAATTGCGCTTAATCGTGCGGAGACGAATAATATGAATGAAAACCTCCGTGGGGTCATCTTCACTACCCTTCGAACCCCAGTGAGTAGGAAAAACAAAAAGGAATGCCGGCTTGGTGGACGATTTTACGATAGGAGATTGCGCAAATATTCCAGTCCTCCACGGGTTCCCCATAGTAAATCGAGCTCGGTTCTCTCATTGTCTATCGTGGGTAGTCTACCGTCAGTAGCGACAACGGGGGCTTTGTCCTCCCGTTCCCTCCAGCTGGGCGTTTCGGGCACGTCAAGCTCTGCCCCAATTTCTCTGGTACGGAAGACCAGTGAAGAGGTATTTTAACGCTGCCGCAGAAGTTGGTGGCCAAGGGAGAGTTGCTCCGTGAGGGATAAGAAGATGATTCTCCAACCGCTTAGGGACACTGGGGATCACAAATCATGCTTAGTCATCTATGCCCCAGAGACTACGGTACTCAAGTATGATCTTCGTAGCATGTCTTGCGGCTCTAAAAGATAGCTCGCTAACAATGATTTTGAGCCTCATTTCCTGGAAAATCATAATAGTACTATACGATAGTCTACCGCGACATCATTGCATCCTGAACCCTGCCTACCGCACCAGGTACCGTACCCTAAACCCTCACCAGACGCTTGCATGCCCTCTACGAGCAGCCGATCCGGTAACTATCTTGAATCCCTGCAGCTTCTTATCATCGTAATGGATTCGATCGAATCTTCATCCTCCTCTTGCCCTCAACCATGGCGACGGCCCGGGAGAAGCCTGATAAAGCTACCCTCATTGACCGTATGAACCCCGCCCCTACCTTACCTTGATCCCCCATTTACCACTCTCAGCCATGTGGAATGAGCCCTTACATTGTGCATAGATATTCTCTCCGAGGAAGACCTCTACAAAATTCTTGGAGCCCCCCGATCGTCCTCGCCTAACGACTTGCGCAGATGCTACATCCAACGGGGTAAGATCATTCATCCAGATAGACGGCCTGCCCACGAGGGATCCACCGCTGCGTTTCAGCGCTTATCCCATGCCTACGAAATTTTGAAGAAACCTTCATTACGTGCCCACTATGACCGGGAGTCCAGCCGCGGCGGTGGAAGGCCAGGGTTCAAAGGTGCGGTCAAGGGCATTATGGGCGAGCTCCTAAGTGGGGAGTTTGCGTTGGTGAGACGTGTCATGGGCAAGCTAAATCAGGAGTTTCCTGAGGTGGTAAATGACAATACCATCGGTTTGTTCCCCCCGATAACACCGCCTTCCTCCACTAAAGATTGCTCTCGCAGTTGCGATTGAGAGGGCCTTTAACAAAATGCGGGAGATGACTCTCACAACACGAACTTATCTCCTTCTCCTATCAATCGAATTGTCTCGCATCCACCGAGTGTCGAAAAAGCTCCTCTCGCTAGGCTACTTCGACGTAATTGGCCGGATGCGACTCACGGTGCAATTAGTCAGAGTTACGTTAGCGGCACCCGTTCGTGTTGACCGAGCGCTCCAGCGCCGTCGGGAAAGGGAATACCAGGCAAGAAAGGCCGGATATGATGCCGCCGGCGCCAGTAGCGGAGGCTTGCTCAACGATAGGGTTCGGGGTGTCCTTGAGTTTATCATCGGCGGCGAGATCGAGGACGCTGGGGAAGATGACCCCTTCGAGAAATTCTGGGGAAAGCAGTGACTGGTTGTGGCTCTGGCGCAAGGATAGCCGGAATCTTTACGAGTCGCGAGTGACTATTTCTTTTGGACTTTGTGGGTGGAATGCCTCTGGGCATTTGGATTGAAATTTAAATCCTCCGCCAAAATTTGATTAGATCGAGAGAACTTCAAACACCCCCATCTTTTTCCCTGTCGCCAATACCAACAGTTCATATAACATCTCATAGAAATAGCTCCACTTCTTATATTAGGTCGCCTAACCTATAGTCTCGTAGTAGCGGCCACGGAACACTAAATCTGAGTCACCTCCCGTATAAGCTTTCCCCCCCAGACTTCAAACTACGCTCCCGACGTATCCGCAATCTAGTCGAGATGAATATATTAGGTACCCACATCACAGCCAACCACCAGAGTATTGCCCACTAATGAGGATCATGAATCCCAAGCGACACAAAGGTTGCGCTCCTGGCTGAGAGAGCTGAGGAACAGCCTGTTAAAGGTTCACCTTATCTCAATAGCACTGTGTTTGGGGTCCGAAGGGAAAAATGATATACATTTATCGCACACTCGCACCACATGCAACAAACCACTATACCTAGTATTATTCAGGACTCTTCCCAGTTCATCTCTTCTCACTCTTGCTTCATTCTAGTTCCTCAATTACCTCTAATTAAGCTGGAAATACACAGCGTCCATTGAGGGACGGCAATGGGCCAAGGTTTGAAAATTTTGACAACGTGCCACTAGTCCCCAGGCTGCAACCTATACTGCACTCCTTCACAGTGATGAGTGGTATAAATGGCAGAAGCCATACCGCACCCAACAGCTGCGTGTCCAGGCCCAAACCTCACGCAATGTCAGTAAAATCACGACCCTGATATCCCACACAGTGCAATGGCGTTAGTAACCGAAACAAGTTAGCACAGCACTCATTTGTCCAATATCGAATGTGGGGGTTGAAATCCCCACTCGGATTGTGAAAATGACCTATCGGGTCACACGTACCGGTACCGGTAGTCCGCCTCCTTCACCCTAAATATATGTTAGAATCCTTTTCCCTAGCCCCCCTACGACGTGTGGGTAGGGAACGATGATCCAACCACACTCGACGTCGGATGTTCCCCTCAGTAGCAGCCCGGGACACACGGCAAAGCGGGATGGAATAAGCGGGATTAGGTAAAAAGGAATTTAACATGCTATTGGTGATGGCAATTTTATATAGTACCTGTAAAAAGAAAAACAAACTGTTTGGCTACAGAATTAGCCTATAGTCAAGTCTCTTCTGCCAGTCGCCAGAATGATATATATCCGCCTGTGATCACTACCGACGAAACACGAAACAGCATCCAAGAAGGGAACAACCCGAGCAAGTGATCGAGGGCATATAGACCCCACCTGCTATCGTTATTGACTAAAGAAACAGATTACCCTATTAAATTGAGATTTACCAAACAGTATTCCTAGTGTCCATCCTTAATTCCCACTTTGTTTAGCCTCATTGGATCTCTAAATCCCTAACGTCCTTCCACCACTTTACCTGCAGTTATACTTGTATTTACCGAATATAAATCTCTGTTGAGATCAACAACAGAAGGTGTGAAACTTTCGCTATATTGGAATTAAATGATAGTTCAAATAAAATGTACGGAGGGACTACTTTCGGTATAAGGAAAAGTCCAGCCGGAAGCCATCCACCACGAACCGTATCCGGCATCCTTCACTTTCCAATCTTTTCGTAAAACCAAGCCAACCAGGATGGCCGGGTGCCCAGGGTGGTGAGAAGATCGGTAATCCAAATCGGAAAATATCCCCCCCCAGATTTACTCTAACGTTTACAATTCCACCGGACTCAAATGCGATAGACCCAACTGTTTGTTGCTGGATATGATACCTACCTGGACCACCTGGTATTCTGGTACCGTGCCGCTACGTTCCCGGAGGTTCCTTTTCCTTGATCCACGAATTTCCTAGAGCCTCCGAGTGTGCTCGAGCCTGGGGAAAGCGGCTATCAGAGAACTAAATATAGTGGGAATTACTAACTGCACAATATAAACTCACCCAACCCCTCCTTATGACTCCCCCAGGCAGATATGAGAGTGTTCCAAAAACATATTAATGTTGAATCGGACTAACAGTGGGCTTATGGATTGACCCACGAGCAAGTGCAGCTCTATTATTATATCATACTCGTACAGGATGAGAACCACATACCTTAAACCAGACCAAATTATTCTTTATACTTGGACTCCTTGACCCAAGTTACACAACTGGAACATCGAACCCCCATTAACGAGCGCCTTATAATATGAGCCCCCAGGGGTGCCAGATCATATAGCGATCTCTCCCCTGAAGGTCAACATATATTATTTTCGCGGTGCCAAATATACTTTTAGTCAAAGTGCATCAGGTTATACAACAGTCCCTAAAGACCCAAACCTCCACCGATCTTGTACACCTCACGACGTTGAGGTAAGGGAGAGTTTGATAGAGGTGTAAAAATATCAATATTGTTTAGCGATAGTCAGAGTGTTGTACGGTAGTGTTCAGATGATACCGTACTTTACTCAAATCAAACACACAAATAACACTATCGCTGAAGATAAGGATATCATGATTCTAATCGACTCTTCCTCAGTAACCCCCTCTTGCACTCAGTCCTCCTTTTATACTACCAAACACCTCTCTTTAAATCTCTTGTCCCGCCACCCCCTAATCCCCACAGGTTGACCATCTAAATTCCGTTTGTTTGTTATAAGGAAGGTTAATCCATCACCATTTTCCATGACACGAGTTTCTATGACAAAATACACCATTACATTACCTGGCATCAAACTTTATACCATGAGATACAACAGTCTTCGGGTACTGAATCTAACAACTATAATTTAAGGTGTAGTAAATGTTGTCTGCAAAAACTTAAACCGAGGCTTGCCCTCCCCCCCCCCTACACGCCTATGTAAACCCTTTCCGCCTCATACATCTCCACCGGGACCGAAAGTATTGTTCAGCGCCGACCTGACTAACAGCATCTGGTGAGTGTATGGCGAGTTACGGTACTCTATCTTATTGTGTCGTATTGTGGATCCTCGGTTGAAGGTGTGTGGCGTTCTTTTCGGGAAATGGCAGAGAGATATATGACGACCCAAGATGGAGAATGGACCAGTTCTCTGGTGGCCTTGAAGTTGTCTCTATTAGCCTCACCAGGGGTTATCGTTCTCACCTCTTGGGGGTTTAATCACAACAATCAGGAGTAGGTCTCTGAGAAGTTTGCAGAACGGTTAAGGGTTTGTAGTGGATGAAAATCGATGATGCCCGTGATATGGGGATGAAAGAAATTCACCGGTCAATGATCCCTCAACTCAGGAACTGAAAACCTCTCATAAACTCAGAGACTTTCTGCTGCTGCTCGGAGGTGTTCCCTTCTTCGTTCTCTCTCTCTCGGGAATCTCCTGAACTAGCTACATATAGGGGTAGTCCCCTTACCCATAGTCTCTCTGAGTGCTGACGACGATACCTCGCGGCTATATACTGACAACACGTAACCACCACTCTCTGTCCATTCTCACACCTAACAGTACCGGTATCGTTCCCCACCTTAGCCCACCACGGGTACAACCGTTAAGTTACGGCTCAATTTTTTCCCGGTAACTCGGCAAAGGTCCATATATGGTACTGAAGCAACATAACTTGATGATCCGGTAAAGGCTTCGGCAACTCCGAGGCCGATAGATGGTTCAACGTAATATATTATCAGCAAAAAAGTGGTAAATGATCCAGCTACTTATAAACAGGATTTGCACGGACATTCCCCAATGACTGACAAAGAGTCAAGGAAGGAACCTCAATAACCGCACAAGGGATAAATGGAAAAGAAATCCTAATAGCAAAGCCAGAACCCAAAGTTTCTCGAGTGAGGGGTCATGAGCCAAAGGAAAGTCGTATGTGCCGAGAGTACTCTTTTGGCAGCAATGTGTCTGCACAGCAATTCAATACAATACAGAAATATAGACAGAATAACCAAGATCATACTCGCAGGCAAGTAGCACAGAATAACAGCGACTGCAAAATATATAGCGAAGAATCCGTGTATACCCGAGCGCTCACACAACCCCACCACCCTCCTACCGGATACGAGTAAGTCGCCTGATACGCGTGTCCAAGCGGAAATACAGACGAATGATCGATTGAGAACGAATGAAGAATAGGGAGAGGGAGGGGCAGAAAGCGACACAACGACGCAAAACAGTTCCCTTAGTTTCTCTACCACATATTAACCACTCCCTCAAGCAAAACCTCGAGCACTCCAGATAATCCGTCTCTGGCCTTAGACGTTACAGCACACCCCGCCCTCCCGTAACCCAATCCCGTAACCCGATAATTTGGATACCCCGGTATCCTATCCAGAACGAATCTCTGTGAGTCCCGGATTTCTTTACATCAAAACCTAACGTGCTAGCCCCCACCACCCGCGGCGCCGGGCAGATTCTTTAGGTTTTGGCTATCCGGGATAGCGGGTGCGATTGTGCATTTCTCGCTCCATACCATATCCTCCGTATTTCTTGCCACCCCAGAACGCCTATCCCAGTGCCCTCCCATCGATAATATCAGGATACCTCTACCATGGTGGGCAGTGCCCTCAGTAGTGCTCTATCATCAAAAGTAAGCTGAACGAGTGCTAGGACGTGCATATATGATGAGCGGCCAAATCGATCACTGTTGTACAAGGGGAAAAATAGCAGTCAAAGCCTGGGGGACAAAAGTTAAAAACCGGAAGAAGGAGCAAGAGCTAAAAGAAACCAGGTTAAACCAAAGTGCATACTGAAAAGAATGGAACCGAGTACATTCGGGCCCTACTATCTCCCCCTTCCCAGTCAGCTAGATACCCCGCTGAACCGTATGAATCCCACGACAACCTCCCATTCCTACGCGAAAGCTTTTTTTTGAATGAGAAAGCAAAGGTATCCAGAGTCATATGGAATTCGGGCATACCTTATCCTCTGTGGCTATTAAATTTGTTTCTACGGAACCGGATCCTGAGACAAACCTAGAAGGGCCACCCAAAAAGGAAAAGAGGATGAAAAGACGAGAATTAAAATTGGGTGATAAACTGGCTTGGTAGGATTGCTCCTGCCTTTGGCATCCTATGAGGAACATAGAGGGTTGCTCTCCTTGAGGTATTG